CTCAATGACAGGTTAGCAAAACTTCTCTCTGAGCAGTCCCTGCTCCCTGACATTTGCCTTCTCATCCTTCCATATCAGCCTGGTTTGGCACGTTAGGCTGGACAGTGACTGGAAGTGTAGACACCACGAGTTTGGCAGTGTCCTGTGACAGGCATGGCTTGTAGAGAGATGGAACAGCAGTGACAATGCTTCTCAAGCTGCAGCAGGGCTGGACAGAGCATGGAGATGCTTCTRTTTCCAGGTGTTTCCCTGCCCACTGCTCAATCTTGGAATCACTCCTCCCTGTTTTGGTTTTTCCTCTCATTTGGGTTTCCCAGATGCTGTGTGCACGGGGTGCAGGTTTATGTAATCCCAGTGGAAACAAACAGAGKTTTTTGTTTCTGCTTAGGGATGATCAGGTCTCAAATTCTGGTTGTTTTTCTTGTCCRTTTGTGGGTTTCTGTTCAGGTTCTTAATCAGAGAGTCAAGATAATTTTGACCACAGGAGAAAATGCCTGGAAAGATGCCAGGGGAATGGCAGGTCTCCATTGACTGAGGACAGCCTGGCTTCATTCTTGTAAAAAAAAAAAAAAAGGAGACATTCTGGGTGTTTCAATCACAACCAAATACATATAAATTAAATCAAACTATTTCAAGATTTTTTTTTTTAAGGAAAAAAACCCCAGAATATTAAGAGCTGGACAAAGTAATTTACTGCCTACTCTTTCACTGATCATCCATGTGCACTTTGTGATGGAAGAGGTTTTGAGYGAAGTATAGATGATACTCTTGCAGCTTGTTCAACAATTTAAATCAAATTTAAAGTCTTTGAACTTACAATAGCAGCTATTACTGGCAAAATTATACTACAAATCTTATTACAAATAAATGAAGGCTTTATTCTGTGCACTCACTGCAATGGGCTGTGGTTGCACTGGTTAAGTGATGTTTTCTTGGCATCTAGTTACTTATTTATAGCCTGGTGTAACACAGAGATGTGGCAGGGACAAGAATGGGAAAATTCAAATGTGTGCCTGTGAGTTGTGTACTGCTGTCTGATTTACCTGAGGAGGAACTTGYATTTGAGGCACTACAATAAATAGTTTGCTTCTTCAGCGAGTGCTGGAAGGAAGACATAGATTTGCAGAYGGGGGAAAAAAATCCAGTTCTTGTTTGAAACAATCCCAGACCAGTTTGACTTTGAATGAACAGCTCCATTTCAGTGAGTGCTTAAAATTGTCACTGAACTGATGAAGGCAATTTTTCTGCATTGTGTTGTAGGATAACTACAAAAGTTAAGAAAATGTCATATAGGAATGGAAATTTTTAAGAAACGCTCTGTAACTTTATTAGTCCTTGAGAAGATGTAATAAATAATTCAAATTGTGAAGCTCATGTGTTATTTTGCATCTGAGAGATTATGGCTTACAGAGCCTGTGTGGGAGAGAGCACGAGCTGAGGATTTTTYCACCATAGCACTGTCAAATCCCAACCATGAGACATCCAAGTGTGGGAGTAGCTCTGATAAATGTTCTATCATACCTGTTTTTGTTTGGGTTCCTTTTCATCCCTGCCAGCCAGTTTATCTTGCTCTGGCTTCAGCAGAGGCTGGGAAAAGAAATATTTCTGCAGGGAGAACCATTGAGAAGTGAAGAGGTGCTATGGGAAGCRTGCTGTGGCCTGCACTTCAGCCCAGATGAATGCAGTGTGACGATTAGAGAATTATTTCGTAATGGGAAAGAAGAAATTGTCCCCAGCCTCCACTCTGCTCATCAGCCTCAGCTCTGTGCTGACTTTTTCACTGATGCAAAGCTAAAACGGAGCTATGAAATGAGGCCTGAACACAGTCCTGCATTTTTTTGGGCTGTGCACCCCTATGACCATCTGCATTTGAACCTGGAGCCTGGCACAYGGCCATGGGGTGCCCGTGGGGGGCACGGGGCATCTCCAGGGTCATGGACACAAAGGGAGCCCAGGCAATTTCAGCTTTAATCCATGCTGAGATTGCCAGGAACAACCACACAAGAGTAGTTTCTTCTTCAGCCTTGTCCCTGTGACAAGTGGTTGGTTTAGGTGTTATTTGAAACACTCCTGGGTGCCTCTGTTCTTGGATTTGGTTGTGTTTCCTGGCCATATTGAACACTGCGCTTCCAGCRTTTCTTCATGACTTGCAGACTAGACAATTTGAGTAAATCTGGAAATCTAGTCTAGTAACCCTATACATTAACATGATTTCTTAGTGAGTTGTTTTTTTTTTCTTGCCTTCAAGTCTTCTTAGTTATAAAAAAAAATCTGTCCCTACTGTGGAGGCTGGGTTTTTTGTTTGGTTTTTTGTTTTCTTTTTAATAGGTTCTTACATGATAGAACAAACAAGATATTTTAAAAGCAATTCTTACAGGTTGGCCATATTCTGATGGAGCCATTCCCATTGACCTGAATTGTGCTGAGCAGCAAGAGCGGAAGGGAGAACTTTCCTTTCTCTCTGCTCAGAATTCGGCATTGGATTGACAGATTTCAGGGTTAGAAAGGAATTCAGAAYGTCCCCGTGTCAACAGTGAGCTTTCTGTGAGAATAAAGCTAATAAAAATAAACATTTAATAAAACTTGCTTTACAGTTTAATCTTACCTCATTAGTAGATAATTAGTAGGTAATTAGTAGATAATTAGACAGGGCTCTTTCACTTTGGGGTTTTCTACAACAAATCAGCCTGAGAGGCTAAAATTCTGTAGTGAGAAAGGTTAAAATAGGCAATRTTATAAATAGTTGAGGGAAAGGCAGCCTTTCTTTTGGAAAGTKTTGAATATACACATATACATACACCATTGATGTCAGCATTTATAACATTACAGGACTGAAAARGTCTCACTACTTTAATGCTTACTGGTAGAGCTTTTTCTAGTCTGGTTGGTCTTGAGGGAACTTGGATTTGCAGCTGCCATGCCTGCACATCTAAGAGGAGATTGTCTATCACTGGGGAGAAGAAAATGGGCTCTGTACTGATTGTGAAATCCTGCCTTAGATGCAGGAAATAAATGGAATTATGGCTAATCTTTACTACTTTTAGATAATGCTGTCTCTTAAGACTGTATATTCTGTCTGTAATATCTAAAGCTTTAGGTACTGGAGTTAAGCTAAGCTTCAGTGTGTTTTGGGAGCAAGTCCCAGCATTCCCTACTAACTGTTCCATATCCTTTACTGTCAGTACAGGACTGAAAGTTTTTAAGAGAAAGAGAAATAATGTGTTAGGTRTAAGTCATCTGTCATCTCAGACAAGGCTTAAGTAGTATTTGGTTTTTKTAGTTTTAGAACCATACAGTTGTCACTGAACTGATAGTATATTTMATGTGCATACTCATAGTATATATATGGATATATATGCACTCATCTATATGAGTAAATACTGATAATATTGTTTACTTACTTCACTTCTTTCACTGAACATTTGTGTTTGTTTACATTATTGTTGTCTGTGGAAAATAGTTGGCAAATCTTTTTGGCCTCTGTTGAATTTTACCTTAAGGTCATAATGTAATCACTTTTTGACTAGGTGCAAACAGCAGCTGTACAATTTGTATGAAAATTGTACATAATGGTGTGGAGTTTGTGTGGGGTGCATAAGCAGTTTGTTGTTGGAGTCTACTTTACATTGCACAGATTGTTACAAGGATAATAAAATGCATGTTATGTGATGTGTGCTATGGTACCATGAGGCAAAGGTGTCTGAAACTGTAACCTCTCATCTTCAGTTCACAAGTTAAGCAGTGACTAAACCAGCTTTTTTCCTTTCCATTGTTATAAACTCCATTTGTGATGAATCCGACATCATTCTTGGTAATTTAGTGCAACAGCTCACACAGACAATGCTGTTTGTGAACATCAGTAACAAACATAACCATTGTTAACTTTGTACTCCCTTTTCAAGAAAAGACCTAGATATCAGAGTTGGCATTACGATTGATTTTTTAATTGTAAAGTCAGTTTTCAGATTTTTTTTTTTTTTTTTTTTTTTTTTTTTTTTTTTTTTTTTTTTTTTTTTTTTTTTTTTTTTTT